GGACCCTATTGGCATCTTTGTAGTCGAAAGTCATTCAATACATGATGTCCCATTTAATGCATGTGTTGAAAACCAGGGTAAGCACTTCGAACTGTATGTTAATCACTGATGGGTGTGCTATTGAAAAACCAGCGCGTTTCGGGGCTGTGACAAAACCGATCGCGTAGCTAGCGTTTGATGTAACTTCTAAATATGATATTGTGGAGTAAGAAGATCACGGAGTATTAAGTGTTAATCGTTGGAATGGTACTTCGAATGTAAAAATATAAACTGAAATACGAGGATTACATCCCCAATGAAGCTCAGTACAGGGTGAAACATTAACACTTTCCTCAGACGCACCCTTAAAGGTCTAAGCCAAACATGCCTCTTCATTAAAGAGAAATAGTTGAGGTGAGGTGAAATGGGGTTTAACGTCGTACTTGAGAATATTTCGCTCATATGACGACGCTATGTGTGGCTGCTTGTACTAGCCCAGACTTAAGCTAGTCTTATAGTGCTAGGTATAGCTTACTGAGATGCCGCAGTAAAGCTTGCATACCCGTCTCAAGACATATTACACTGACTCCGAGGCGACCAGTCCTTCTTTTACCCATTAATGCCGAGCGCCAGGCAGGGAACAAGATGTACCATGTTTTAACTTCTTTTGGTATGACACGGCCGGAGATCGAAACCGCGACCTTCCGCTCTAAAGAGAAATGACACCACCCCAATTAAACTCACGATAGGTATAACTGTGGTTATAACATTTCTGTTAATGATGAGATCTCTTATGCACTTTTTACGTTTTCCCAGAAATTATTGAGAAAATCTTTGTTTCCTAATACTGATGATAGAATTTTAAAATAGGTGTAGTAAGGTACTCGATATGGGAGGTAACTCTTGTAGACTTCAGAATGAACCTTACTACATCCAGAGTTATCTCCCTTGGTGTAGCAGACGGCTTCCTTTGTTGGCATGGCAGATTTGACAGCAGAAGAGAAAAGAAAGCTGGTTGTAGATGATTTTGAAAGGGGTGTCACTAGTGTAAAAGAGTTAGCTGGTAGACATGACATTTCTGTCTACAGTATGCAGAACTTTGCGGAATATTCAGTCAGGACTTGTGATTGAGCACAAGACATGGGCAAGGAGGCCAAGGAAGTTCAGTACTACAGATCACCGAGGAGAAAATTGAAAAGCGTTGATGATATCAGAAGAGATATGATTAATAGAAGTAGTCCTCACGTATGTAATAAAACCCTTAGACAAAAATTACAAAGACTTAACTGTATGAAAAAGCGCGGAATTCTCTCACCATTGATGAGAGACGCAAAAAAGAAAGACGTTTAAACTGCTGTAGTGCTCACGAAATTCAAGATTAGGATAATGTTTTCTTTTCTGATGAAAGTTTTGTCTGGCTTTTTCCGAACTGTGTGAAACTTTGGACAAAATATACCGTGAAACCTATTTACCAAAGCCCAAAACATAGCTCGAAATTTCAAATGGGATATCATCACGTGGAGTGACGCCATTGTGTCTTCCACTGGAACTTTGACGAAGAAACGATATGTTGACATCTTAAATGATCACCCCCTTCCAATGGCCCGAACACTGTATGAAGATAATTGGTTGTTCTAGCATGATAATGACCCAAAACACACTGCGGGCTACACAAAACAGTGGCTGTGCGACGAAAATGTTCACATTTTAAACTGACCCAGCTATACCCCAGATACTAACCCTATTGAGAATGTGTGGGGACTAATGAAGGACGGAATAAACCAAAAAGGACTTTAAAATATTGAGGATACGAAGAAAGAAGTGATCGAATATTGGAATACGCTGTCATATGATTTCCTACAAACTCTGATTGGTAGTGTACCTAGGCGCATTCAGTCGTGTATTGCAGTCTCACAAAGAACTGAAAAATCTCTTAGACTGTAAGAGGATCACATCTCAACATATTCATGCAAGTAAAACTTCTATAGGTTATATAGGTACATGTATTAGCTACATATTTGCCGAACCAACTTTCTCAATAATTTCTGGGAATACTATACGACCGTCATAACAAATGAATATTTTGTTTCAAAGCTTATGAGACAGCGGAAATACTCTTCCACTCAGCCATTATAAAGACGTTGACAATGGCTTTTAATGAGTGATATATAAGTGTATGATCTGCATTAACCTTCTTTTGAACATTATCAGTTGAGTGTAACAGGCGATCTCCTGCGCCTTACAGGTCTTAGCCATACTTGATTCCTCCTTAAAGGGAACCAGTCAAAATGAACACACGATAGGTATATCTATGATAACATAGTTACTATTAACAATGAGATCATACCCTCTGGGGACATTTGTTAAGTTTCAAGACACTCGCAACACACGCTTCTTGGGTTTCAAGGCTTATGCTATTATGAAAACACTGGCAACATCTCCTTGTGAGTGATTATTAAGTGTATCGGCTGGGTTAACTTCGTTTTGAACATTTCAGTTGAGTGCAACGGGATGTTTGAACACCTGCGTGATGCAGAAAAATTCTTTGAGGAGAATCCTGAGTGCACTTCCAAGTTTACGAGGAAACACTAAAGGTACCTGTATAATGATAACATTATGTGCCCAGCTCGCAACAACGCCTTAGGTTTCAAGAGATCTGCCTAGAGAATAATCTGGCGTATTTTTCTGTCCAATACATGAATCCAGTTCTGCTAAATATATTTCCATGAACACACATCTTGCATCTTCGGAAAAGGCATCTAATTTTGCTGATTGTTGATGCTGTTGAGAGTGCCTTTCGGGTGGTCGTACATGTATGTATAAGTGTGATCATGATGTTCTTACTTGTATTTCATTTTCATTTTTATCACATGTAAAAGCCAGATATATTGATATAAAATAAGTATGAAATTTATGTTATCCAATTTGTTCTCATAAAAAAGAATCCTGTAGCAGAAGTGAGAGCTCTCTCTGATTTCATTGGGCTTGAGAGAGATGATGAACTGTGTCGTGCCATTGCAGAAAAGTGTACCTTTGCAAGGTTGAAAGCTGACAAGGACAAGTACTGTTTGAAAGTTGATGGAAAAAAAATTGAACAAAAAAAGGTATTCTAACAATGCAAAACAAAACCAAAGTAAATACTTTCAGACATAATAATATGATTTTGGTAAAACTGACATTTAGTGATTGGTAAATAATACAAATAGCAATGAATAATATTGTTTCAATACTTTGCCTTACTGTGTATTATTGTGTTGAAAACAACAAATTATTACTGAAGCGAGAATGGATTCCTCCTTTCACTAATGGAACGGTAAATTAAATCGAAGTGATAAGTACAACTTAAAGGATATGAGGATAACTTTGGCGTTGATATAAAGTGCAATAGACTACCGACCTGATGAACATTAAACTGCTATGAGAGGCTATTGTAGAAGGGATGTAGGAAAAAATTATGATCCTGTGAAATTATCAGTTAAAGCTGCACATTGTTATGTGGTATTATGAGTCATAAAATTGTGACATGTTGAGTCATGATGGCGCTGTTCTTCAGGTGTCGTTGGAGACTGGAGGAACCGGTTCACGGATGAGATGTTGGAGGAGTACTACAGTGTGTATGAGGAGGAAATGGCCGGGTCAAAATTCTATGAACGTTATGCCAGAACGAAGGTCGACAACAAACCCTAATGATTCATTTCATGAAGTCATTTCTCAATGATTCTAACCCAACGTTTATCAGTGGAGATAGCATAATAAGCAGAACATATAACATTTTTGTGTGGCTACATTTATTTCTCGTTTTCCTGTAACGTGAATCATCATTTCTCGAATGACACACGATTACTATCTCGGCTGTAGCCTTTATGCTTTACCAGGCCTAATGCGCGTTAAAGTTGACGAAGTTGTACTGGAACCAGCTATATATTCCTTGCACACAAAATGCTAAATTTCTTTGAAAAGTATGTGAACGGATCACTGTAAAGGAATGATGACACGAGGTGTGAAAGGGGTAAGCAGGGAAAAGGTGTTCAAGTAAAAACACCATCGGCTTCATAACCAGGAACAAGGTATTAGAGGGAAATAACCAGTGAGAATTCGGGTGGATTAAATGTCTGAGGCACGTTTCTCAGTAAAGATGTATTTCATAATTCTTGTCTCATCTAGTGAAGGCAAGCATTAAGTTATGTGTGATATGAATATTGTCTTTTAATGGATAAATGAAACACACAAGTTCAAAAGTCTCAGTGTTAACCTGCCAAAATGTTACTGTTCCTCTGGACTAGAGGTATAGACCACGCTATTTTCATCCATCGTCTCAAACAAGATAATGACATTGATGGTACAATACTAAACTGGTGTACCTCCTTTGTGACAGATCTCAATCAACAGTTATTGGAAACAGTTTCTCAGAGTGCAGTGCTTTCATGTGGCGTCCCTCAGGGCTCCATTCAAGGGCCTCCACTCTTTAGCCTATACACAAGACTTTTTACTGATAATGAGATTGGTCACCAGTCCTATGCATATTATTCCCAGATGACAAGATTCGCTGGGGATAGAGCAAGTCAATGAGAGACATTACATGCTAAATCGTAATGCAGACAAATCTGCAGAAATGCTGCAGCAGTAGTGTAACGGTCAGGAATTTATTCCAATCTCACAGTTCGTTAGTGGAGTCTTTCATGACTCACAATGGAAGACCACATGAGATATCTAAGTCACTTCAACCTCAGGAAACTTGGTTTTATTCGGTTATATGTTGCCAACGCATCACTCATCACGAATTCTTTCCCGCCTGGACTACAGCAACATCCTACTCTATGACATTACAAAGGATCAACTTCACAGATTGGAAAGGTTGCTGAAAATAGCTGCAAGGCCACTTACTTTTACAAATCCTAAAGAACACATCCAACCGGTACTCAAATCACCTCATTTCCTACAAGTTCATGAACTGAACACGACTTAACTAATATCTTGCCTACCAAACAGTCCACTAGATCACCCTTCCATACTCTTTATACAGTGTATGAACCTTCCAGAAACCTTCGTTCGGCAGTCAAATTCCTTTTTTAGATTCCTGCCGTCTCCGTACATGGCATTTGGTCCCATATCCTTCAAACACTATGCTTCCGTACCATGGAACTCTCTTCCCCTCTACCATTTCTGGTGTCCCCCGCCGTGATATTGCTGGAATATTGCTAAAAGCGGCGTAAAACCAAACTCAGTCAGTCAGTCAGTCTTCCCCCCTACCTCAGATCCCTTTCTTCCTTACATCTGGCCTTAAGACCCACCTACCCCTCAATTGCTGGCAATTGTTCATATTACTAGTTATATATGTTTAGAGTTCAGAGCCACATCAGCCTTATTATAAGTAGTAGTATTCGGACTTTTCACAGATGTGAATCAAGACAAACCTACGTGCGCTAACGTTGAACATGCAATGTTACAAATCTTCAACATACAGGACATCGAAAATGACAATGGAATTGTAAATCTTTGTTTAAAGTGGGTCGGGCATACCATTCAACAGGGCATATGCATGTATACGCCGCAACTAAATGTCCTTGTATAAGGAAATGTGTTCTTATTTTGTTGACTTAGTAGACTTATAAAACAAAACTTGTGTTGTTATTATCTGGAACAATGCACAAAAATACAATGACATTCCCCTACACCCTACCCATATGAAAAATCAGTGCACACCACATTTTAGTTTTATTGAAAGTAAATTTTCTTGCACAAAGAATTGTTATTTGTAACGTTTAATACGTGATCACTAATTCTTTAATAACTTTGCTCACGAAAACAAATCGTATGACAAAGGGTATGCACAGTTACAATGTTCATACGGTACTTCTTTATATGAATTATCTGTTTGCATACTAGTATATATTCTACCTGATTAAACTATCCATTCTATTGTTTAAAAGTATTCCTCAAAGACACAGTCTCGCATTATGAACTTTCCGAACGACTACTTCTGTCGTCCATATTCTTCACGATAGAATCTCGAGCCGGCCATTTGTTCTTCGTACACACGGAAGTAGTCCTCGAGCAATTCGTCAGTGAACCAGTTCTTCCAATCACCACTCACGCCTACAATAGAAGCAAGCGTGGGTGAATCACATGACGAGTTAAGATTATATTTCTGTTATGAGGTTCATATTCAAGCCAGAAACATATGATTCGGACTATGTTTTTTGGTTTCTCATCATAATTCCGGTCTCGTGGGATTCGGGAAATGTCAGAGACCTGCACCACCTCGGGCATTTAGCTCACATGTTGTTGATATTCCGAGGTATCACTGGAATACTGATTAAAGCGACATTATACCAACTCACTAACTCACTCTCCTGTGGGATGACACCGTATTTGGTGTGTTTATAAAGAGTTAAAATGCATTCATTAGGTCATACTGTTAGAGTTTCGTACCTTTCCGGAAAATAGTGTTTTCTCCACTGAACTTTAAAGTGTATGCACTCTTGTCAACCACCATTTTCGAAAACTGGCATTTTTCTACAACAGCTTCAATCAGATCAACATTCTTCGGGACGCCAAGAAAGTTTGCCAACTTTTCAACTGCCATCAGCTTATTCTATGAAAAGAATATATAAACTAGTCATTGTATAATTATGATCTTTTCGAGTAATCACACGCTTGGCTATGATTGATTGAATTTCCCTTTTAAGGATGAATCCTAAAACAGCGTTACACCCCAAAAGCAAATATTTACGATGAACGTTAAGAGTATCTGTTGTAATTAACTGAACAAAACGTGATTTACTGTGATTGCTATGGTTTAGACCCGATTTGTTTACAAACAACAGCATACAGCTGTAACACTGCTGAAACAAATATCTCCTCGTGATATAGTCACAATTGTAAATCGATTTTGTATTTAGCAGAGATTTCTTATGAATGTGGAAAGGGTTTTGTCGCTTCTAATCAATAACAGGCTGGTCATGGTTACCTTAAGCATCTCCTCATATACTACTGTGAGCACAGGGATGTCTGGATGTTGTTGAAGATACTTTTCAGCACTCTTCATGTGATTAAAGTACCCATTAACATCAGCTGCAAATGAAATCGGTGAAATTACGAATATTTGTCCTCCTTTGGTGGTCACATGTATCATAATAACGGACTATACGTCTGAAAGGAGGAATAATTAATCTGCTAAATATAAATTTGATTACTGACATGAAATGATGTTTCTTCAGCAATAATTCATGTGTATGATGGCGGTCTGAAAACAATCCAAAATGAACTAGCCAGTCCAATAATTGTCATCATAAGATTCAGCTTCAGTAGTAGGCTAAAGTATTGACCTTGTCATGTACAACATCGACATTTCAGCTGAGATTATGTTTCGTTTGTTATGTTGTTTTATATATTTGTTTTGTTTTGTATAAGTCATCTGCCGTTAACAACGACTTGTAGCATCAACAAATTATATTTTCCACTGGAATTAATCACAGTAGGAAGGTACATTGGGAAAATATATTGCTATAAAATCTTCTAATAACTTAACTTCACTTTAACCAATCGTAGGGCTTTAAAGTAACAACAAGCACGGCAGCGGTGGTATAGCATAGAGGTTAAACCGTTCGCTCGTCACGCTGGAGGCCGGGGTTCGACACCCTACAATGGGTTAAACATGTAGAGGACCTTTCTGGTGGCCTCTGCTGTCAAATTGGTGGAATATTGCTAAAAGCGCCCCAAAACCATACTCACTCGCTCACTCACTCACAAGAAGCCCACCAAAAATTCTATACTGGTCTGCCATTTTGTCAACCACGTAATACAACAAGTGATAGAAATAAGCAAAGCCTCGGAACGTATTAAACGCACTCTACCTTTCCCTTCAAGGAAGAGGTACAGATAATCCTTGAAGTCTCCAGTGTAGTTGGTCACAACAGACCCACTACGACTCAGGTTATACAAGGACACGGCAACATCCCTGGGGTCTCTGAGGGTATACACAATCTTACATTTCTTCTCTTTAAGATCATCGGGAGCATGGAGCAAATTGAAATGAGTATTTAATATGCGTGGAGACGGTAGCGCGTCCAGGGCTGCAGCTTCCACAATCTCTAATTGGTTCATCCCTTTCCAGAGAGCGGCGGTTTCAGCTTTCCCCCTCAGGAGCATGCTCATCATTTCATACGTCCAGTGTGTGCCTGTTGAATATATAGTTTTCTTCAAGGATACTGTCTTCAAGGATACTGGAACTCAGGTGAATGTGAAGTTACGAATGATGGCATTTTACTGGTTGTCAGATGTTTGTTTTGTTTGTTGTTTAAAACCGGTGGTGTGTAAATAGTCGAGACTGGTCCAGACAATACAGTGATCAACAGCATTAACATCGATCTACACAACTGGTATACGATGACACGTGTCAAGCGAACTTTACCACCTTGTCAGTCGGGTTAGTCTCCTCGTATGACCAATTGTAACCCGGATTTTCACGGAAAACTAGTTAAATAGGCAAGGCCACGGGTAACCAGACACGTTACTGTGTATTGCAGTATACTAGTATTTATGTAATAATCATGTAATCATTAATACGATTTAATAATCTAAACTTAGTTTCATCTTATACACAGTCGCAAGGCGAACTTTGTCATTATATGGGGTTTATTTTGCTATTAGTGATTTTGCTGCATGCGGAATTACATGTATGATTATACGGAAGCGTAGTAGGGCCACGGCGAATTATTTTTAGTCTCATTATCTCCTACGTAGGACATAGTATCTCCAATGTAAAACATGCTATCTCCTATGTAGGACTTAGTATCTCCTACGTAGGACTTAGTAGCTCCTACATAGGACTTAGTATCTCCTACGCCTAAGTACTACGTAGGACGTAATAACTCCTAAGTAGGAGATAGTATGTGATACGTATGAGATATTAAATCATACGTAGGAGATAGTGAGATCAAATTGTTTTTTCACAGTTGTCCTACTACGCTTCCTTATGATGCTAAGATGGCGGTCTGTAAATAATGGAGTCCGGACCAAACAGTGCAATTAGTGACATCATGACTATTGATCTATGCAACTGGAACAAGACCGAGCCTAACGGTTCTATACATGTAGACATCTCTATCTCACTGGAGTCAAAACCCCTAACCACCAAACTCAAAGATTTCAAAATTAGAAAACGCCAAGCAGCTGTCTGCATCAAAGACTCCAACCAACGATTACATACCTCCATCACTTGCTTCATAACGGTGCTCCCAACTTCGCTCACTATTGTCTTAAATAATTTTATCATCCATATATTACATCTCCCCATTACTCTAACTTTTTAATGAATCTCAATGTAGTTAAATGTGTTAGGGGCGATCATTCTTCAGGATTATAGAAAAACATGAATGTCATAATGTAGCGGATCAAACAATACTTGTACCACTGTGTGTTTGTTAATTACCTGTCCTCAAATATCCAGCAAAGTAGACATCGTCCGAACGCAGTTTAAATCCTTTGATTTGCTTAAGGTGAGCCACGCTGTAGAAGCTGTTGTAATAGACGCCATCATAGCGTTGTAAAGTGTACACCTTTCCTCCTCTGTCCTTGACAATAACCAGGTCCTGTTCAGACTTGGGTAGTTCAATCTCATGGCCACAGATCTGTGTTAAGACACATATTTACTAAGAGATACTAGCAAACCAATACTATTTACTATCACTAGATACTATTTACTAGCGAACTGCACTTAAAACGAACTCAAAGGGATGACAAGGTTTAGTTCGGGAGAACCGTAGTTCGTTACACAGCATGCAGTAAAATAAAATATACAGTACAGCAAGTGGCATTATCGTTACACATACACACAGACACATATAGATATCTAGCTATATCTACCCCCCCCCCCTCTCTCTCTCTGTATATATTCATACATTGAAATGTAAACACTTACAGCATGTAATATTTACAAAAAGTCTTGGGATCCTTCAATGCATCTAATTTATTCATAATACATGTCCCCCGAATCAAGAAACATTTTTTAAAAGAAATTCTGAAATATAATATTCAAATTTCCTGAAGTGCACATATCTGAAACATCTCGTCTCGGTGCATGTACCTCAGCGAAGTCTCCGATCCTCCTCTGACTCTCTCCTCACCCAACACAGATCTCCAAACCAACTGTCTGACCGAACCTTCTCCTCTTCCAAAGGAAATCAGGAACACTTCATCGAAATAAACTTTTAAATCTCTGCTAAAGACCCATCTATTCACTGCTGCCTTTCTGTAAAGTTATATGAACTTTTTCCTTCCCAAATATTGTCACAGCGCCACTGAGCATCTTTATGGTGGATATTAGGGGCTTTATAAATACAATATTATTATATCAAAAGTCACAATGTAATGCAACTCACCGTTATACCTTGAGACATTGCGGCAGATGAGGACATAAACAAGGCACCTTTAAATACGCGGTTTAACCACGGTTTTAAACTGTAACATAAAAATTAATACTTAAAATTGACTAAAAGGCAAGCAGGTCTGTATCAGATGTTTGTTGAAACAGCAAGAGCCAGCTGATCTGATCTGTAAAGCTGTGCCTAGTTGTGTAATGAATATTAGGACTTCCGTGGAAAATAAATACAACTTTTGATCCTTAAACCATATTGGTTTCCATAACAACAATGACGTTTGTAACAATTGACATAAAATATATTAAATTTATTTCTATACTGTAACAATGGCTTAAGAGTGGAGAACTGTTTATTATTGATCAATAAATTTACTTGGTATGAAAACATAATGGCAGAAGAATCTGAGTTCATATAGAAATATTGTACAGTTTAATAAAATATGTTTTGTTAATGTCAAGGAACATATTGTTCTATTATAAAGCATCATAGATTTCTTGGTAATAATATAGGACTGTGAAGGTGATAATTAATACCTATTCTAATATATATCATTATTTATGATAGTCTATTAAATTGAAATCGCGTTGTTGTATGTATCATGTTTTGTTGTAGGAATAGACACACAATTACAACACAACAGACCACTTGTTCTGAATACTTGTGGTACAGTTGTTATATTATTGCAATATCTAAATTGTCAATAGACACATTGAAGTTTTCAAGCCATATTGAAGTTCGCGTGAATGGAAAATTTGGCTTACTTAGCCGGTAGCACTCGTTACTGACTTACGAGGGGCGTTCATTAAATATTTCCCCTGACCCACTCATGGTTATAATACCCGGCTGACAGTTTACTTGTATAGTATTACTTGAAGCTTTAGGTCAGATGATAAGCTGCAACGCTGACCTCAAACTGCTTCTTTTTTTTGACAATTGTTAGATTGGAGCAAAGTGTGACTATGGAGCCAGTCGACTAATGGGCAGTCATCACGTTTTTATTTTTGAAAGGACGCACGCCAACAGCAACCTTCGATGATTTGAAAGAAACGTATTGGGGGATGATACCCCATCATGTATAAACGCCAGCATCGCCAGTTCAAGTGTGGCAGAACATCTGCTTAAACGTCTCCCATTCCTGGGCGCCCCCATTCTGCCATTGATGAAGACACCATCTACAACTGGGAGGTCGCCATTTTAGAAGACGGACGAATAACTGTTCGCCAGTTAAAGTGTAAAGATTAGTGTGGGGTCTGTAGAAAAAGAAAATTGCACGTACATGCATAAGGTGTGTGCATAAACGAGTCGATTGCTTAAAGTCACTTTTGGACATGTACCAAGAAAACCAGGACGCCCTTTTTGACCGACTTGTCACACAGGTAGAAACACGGGTCTATGCTGTGGACGCACTTTTACTCCCTCCTCCTCCCCCCTCCCCCCAAGAAGACAAAGGTTCAAACCTTGACACACATGAACATATCATGCCGTATTTACGTCTACACAGGTCACGACGAACCGGCCTAAATATTAACCTGGTAGCTGGGATGTACATGTGCACCTCATACTAATCAATATATTCTTATCCACCTGCCAGGACGGCGTGACATTTAGGCAATTTCCAGATTAGGGAGTAGGTAGGAGTCACAACGTATCTGTAAATGGACAAGTGTCTGAATAAAGCATTGCCCGCGTCGAAAATAACTGCCTGTCCGACAGCCAAAGATTGATGTCTTGTTTAAGTGGCATTAGAAGGTGGTGTGATGAATATACACCTTCTTTAATATGATATGAGCGACGTTTCGGTGTAGCTACTAACACCGTTATCAAGCAAATGATGTACAATACTAGATGCAGGTATATTTATATACATAGTAAAGTTGAACAGTAAGTGATGACGTTTACACATTTAATGAGGTAGATGTACAAGGTGGTGGATGTTTACACAAGAGGCCAATGGTTACACAAACATAGTAAGCTATGGGGGATTAAGGGAGGAAGCCAGTGATATGACAGACAGGAGAATAATAGGATTAAGATTGCTTGGTGATGAGTTGGTTGTAGGCAGTGGTGATGTAATATCCTTGGTCTCTGTTAATGGCCGGTTGGAGTCTCTTGATGTGAATGGCTTCTAGTAGCTTTCTTATCTTGTAGTAGGTGTGATTGCTGGTTAGTACATTGATGCTGTTCCATAGGATGTTGTGGTCTGGGTGAGCTTGGGTGTGGTCAGAGATGGCGGATTTAGAGTCTTTCTTCTTCACAGAGGCTTGATGTTCTTTGATTCTTACAGGCAGGAGTCTTGAGGTTTCGCCGATGTACGAGTCTCCACAGTCACACTTTATGTGGTAAACTGTGCTTGAGGGGTCTTCTTTAGTTGTGGGGATTGGTCTGCCATTGGCTTTAAGGAGGTTCTGTATAGTAGTACCTCTCTGGAACACAACATCAATGTTGACTTGGTGTTTTAAGAGTCGGCTGATCTGGTGGCTGGCTGAACCTATATAGGGCAAGCTTATGATGAACGGAGCTGTTTGATGGCGTTGGGGCTTGTTTGTCGGGTTGAGGGTGGCGTTGATGGTGCGGTCTACAAGATTGATGTGTTTAACTGCAGCAATGAACTTTTAGAAAATGGACCTGCGCTTGTGCTGTTGATATTTTATGTCGAAAATATAAAATCTAGGAAGAGCAATTTGTTCAAAACAAGATGCCATGATGAATGACATATCCAACAAAGGAAGTTATTCACTTAAACATTATGCAGAAAATGCGAACAAAGAGATTAACGCGCAAAGCTAAAGCGAGCATGCAGTACGTTGTAGGGTGGGACATTTAAGGGCGCCAAAATGTTGTGTTTCCAAAATACTACATATTATGTTGACAAAATATGGGCTGGCACCTTTCGAATTGTGAGTGAGGGAGTGAGTCTAGCTTTACTCAGCTTTTAGCAATATTCCTGCAATATCAGAAATGGCCTTCACGCATTGTACCTATGTTGGGAATAGAACCCGGGTATTCGGCATGACGAGCCGCTAGGCTACCCCTCTGCCCCCTTGCCAATAGAGCAGGTAACGTTTCTGAATTGACAGCTGGACTTTCTGTGACAATATTCAACAATTTAAGTTAGCGTGCGTAGCTGACAATTATTTCACAATGTTATATATTTCTGGATTATATTTTCAGTTGTTGTTTCATTTATAAAACTGAATGGTGCAAGGCTCATGGTAGTCCGTAGAATCATGGTGTGTCACTGAATACACATACTCTGCTAGGTAACTTACATCCAGATCATAGACCTCCTGTGTCATTTAACGACAAATAGACACGGCTTAATGGCAACCCTACAGCACGTAGACCCTACTTCGAAATGTTACAAGCCATAGTCCTTGCTAGAAATATTAAAATCGCATTATCCATGGTTACCGTGAGTATATACACGTGTACCCTGCCTTCAATACACGCCAATCTCTTTGTGTCAAAGGAATATACACTCTATCCAAAAAACAGCTGTTGGGGACTTAAATCGATCATATCGATGATGAAAAACCCCCTTAAAGTCTTGACACTCATAACCATATGGCCCTTACGTACACCCAGGTCACGTCGACCCGGCCTAAATAGTATCCTTTCACATTATGATTGTTTCCTTTCGGTTTGTGTGCATGTACTATTTGGGATTCGGAAAGTAGTGAGCAGTAACTGTGGCAACATTAAACTGAAAGGAGTCGGTGCCGCAACAGACGACGCTTTGGGCGAATTGAATTGACTTAGAGTGAGTGAATGAGTGCGTTTGGTTTTACGCCACCTTTGGCAATGTTCCAGCAATATTATGGCGGGGACACCAGGAATGAGCTTCATATATTGTACCCATGTGGGGAATCGAACCCAGGTCTTCGGCGTAACGAGCTGACGCTTTAACCACTAGGCTACCTCACCCCCGAATTGACTTAGAAACGTATAATAGAAACAATACGGTATGTTGGTTTAGACGGAATGGGCTGCACAGCATCCAGCTGGTCCTACTTTTCACTTGTTTATAATCACACACTTGCACTGAAAAAAGAGCACGCTGACCTAAGGAAAAGCTTTCAGTTGTATTCACAGATTGTTATGCGTACGGAACCGACTGAGGGAGCTGTCCGTCACACTCGGGCGACGAGTCGGAGGCAAATCTCTCGTAAGAAAAGAAAGATTTCTGGATGTCAATTTTTTTATTGTGAATAACACGACGTTTCGGAGTGTATGCTTGCTCCTTCATCAGGTGTGTGTATTCAGATATGAAGGAGCAGGCATACACTCCGAAACGCCGTGTTAAATCTTGCTTTTCTTATGCATTCCACTTCTCAATGCCCTTCAAAGATTTAAATGCCTCGTGTTCCCATCATGTTGAAAACGTCTCCATAGAGTTGAAATCGTGTTTCGATGGACACAAAAATATCTTGCCATTTCATTTTGGGCCATTCCAGTCTCCAGTATACCCTAGGCGCGGTCAGGATGAGTTTCTGTGATCCATGGCAGGGAGTACGCGCAGGTTGATTTTAACGTCTTTTCCACAAAATTAAGAAGCTGAAAATTATCAACCGTTCTTCAGTTTCCAATATCAGGTTTGTGAACCTCTTTATGTGGTTTGTGATTGTTCATTAATGTCATGTTCGTATATTGCTCAAATGAAAAAAACGACCAAACTCTTTGAAAGCAGAGGCAAGTGTACAATTCTGACGATATCATCTGTCTGTGTTCGCTTGATGCCACATTACCCAGTATCACAGCGGTACACTGTAAACAATCGAGTCGTGGACCAGACTATCCAGTGAACTATGGGCATGCATGGTTGTCGAAAACTGAATACTTAGCCAATAATGTCGTTGGACCCGACTTCCAGGCAACCCCTCTCAACTGAGCACCCGTGCGACACACTTTGTGACACTAAGTGTATTGTTATAACAGATGGTATTGGCCACTTTCTTAATGACAGGCGTTCTCAACGCATTCAAAGTGAATGAATTTCAAGGTAGTTGTGTATTAATGTTAAATTTGGGGAGACACCTATATGAGAAGAAACACGGTAACGCCTTACGCATGACAGCAACATTTCACTATATCGTTATACTGTAGCAAAGATAGTGACAGGACTGTGGACAATCCAAGCATCACAGTACAAACATGGATGACGCTAAGAGTGAAGAGAGCACATGGACTGTAAGTACATTGAAGCTAAGTTTCTCATTACAATACCTTTGCTTCCCAGTTCATTTTTCTGAAGCTCCCCTCCTGTCTTCAAAACAATAATTGCTGTGATCTCATGTATCAGTTGGAATGCAGTTCCGGAGTCGTCCTATATGTCCTGACTGGTATGAAATGATAATGAGTGAAAATGAGCACAGCATTGAACAAAGTATACATTGATGAGACTTGTAATAACAAACATATTGAAAGTGTAAACATAGGTTTTCATTTTGACAGGTTCTAATTTAGGTACTGCATAAGGGCACTATTAAACATTCCTAATATGGGATGTGTTTTGCAATAATTACATGAAGGATATAATCGAACACCTGTTTCCTATGCTAGGTATCTGGGAAGACGCTGGACGTGGATTACAGCGGGCAGCACATTGTTAAAGTAACAGATCGAAGCGGCCAAAACCTAACCTTTCAGATATTCCAAGGGGGACGCTACTCGCCATTGTTTAAAATCGAAATACTTCAACAAATCAAAGGTTTCAACATGAGACCAGATGACATATACTTCTCCGGATATGCTCGTACAGGTAAATTGACACCAGATATCGAGCAATTAATTGATTACCTGTAAAAACAGAATCCATTTGGAGTTGGTAGAGAAATAGTTGTGAAAATTATAAGAATGCAACACTGAAATGATGGAAGGATTTTTTGCTAATCTAGCTTTAGCTGCCACTAAACATAGACGCGTCATAGAGACAATAAATCTAATCGTCATTCACCACATATCGTCAGTAAAAGCAGAGTCTATTGTGCGATTGTGATTATGTCATCAGCATGTGTTTATGGCACATTATCAAGCTCTTGTGATACAGTTGATCTTGAAAGGTTCAAAATTAGTGAACTGGACCTACTTCATGAAATTCTTCAAAGGCATTGACCCCCTGAAGAAGGGACACAAACTAGCCCAGAAACGTCGTGTGAAACAAATAATTAAGTTGTCATCCATATATTTGCCATGTTTGTCACTGATGTATGAAGTGCCCAAAATGCCATGTAGACAAATAATTGTGTAACAAGTAGTATATTACTCTTAACATTTACCATAATATTTCAGGAATGACTTGACCAGGACATTGATTGCGAAACCTTGAATGAACCTTGAATGAAAAGCTCTATGTAAAATGTGCGTTTCATTGAACTACCAAGTAAAATTATCTGTACCTATTGCACATTGTTTGACAATATTCTGTTTTAGTCAGTGTTCTGCCGATATACACTGCAATGTTTACAAACTAACATAAGTACTATAAAACTAGGTGTCGGGCCAATGAGGAATCTATAATGTAATAATGGAAGTTATGTTCTAGTCTTTAATACTATATGTCAGCTGGTTTTGACAGTTTAGTCTTTATTTTTCTTTTCCAAAGGGACAAACTGGACATTTGAAATGATGAGCATGCTTCTTAATGGTAAAGCTGAAACCATCCAGAAAGCCAGGGATCTCATGGAGTTAACTCCTCATGATGAACTTGCACAGCTGCCATCACCACGCATCGTCAACTCTCACATGAAGCTGTCCGACTCTCCAAATGATGTTACAGCTCTCAAGTGCAAAGTCATCTACACCCTGCGTGACCCAAAGGATGTTGCCGTCTCTATGTACAAAATCTATTATAACAGAGCGTTTCCCTTTGGTACATATAATGGAGATTTGAGGATTTCCTTCACCTTTCATGGATGGAACAGGTTTGACACTTTCGTAACCCTTAAGGCTTTTCCTTTTTAAAACACAGGTTTTGTTAACAAAAACAAGCAATCGAGATGTTTTTGCATGCACTTTTTACCATAGTGCCGCAATTTCTCCGAAATCAAACAATACTTATTTCTAGTTGATACCATGTGACCGCGGAAGATAAAATAAAAAATCGTTTTATCACCAATTCTCCTAATGATGTGAAAAGAGTATATTGACGACAATACTCATCACTTTTTTATGAAAGATCTACAAAGCTTTTGGCCCCAGAAATATACAAAAACACGCAAATCCTTCAGAATTCTTGATATTGCAAGGTCATCTATAAAACATTGATAATCAAAATGACCTTCAGCCAAGCATCCTTTGTCGTAAGGTGTAACTAACGGGTTCAGCATGTCATCATATGCCAAATGTGTTCTGGACTTATTTATTAACAGGCCACTGTATATGCAAAATTACACAGTGCAACGTCAAACAATAAGCTATCAAGGAGAAAAGGAAACAGCATACATAATGCACACTGGGATCTGTGAAGTTTAAAATATGTGCTAGGAACCTTCCAAAGCCTAGGTTTAACTACTCAGATGGATAAAACGAGTAAAGCTCATTTCTGGTGTCTACGCATCGATATTGGGAAGAGGGCAGAAACACTACACTGATCAATGCATACTATAATGATAGACATTTGAGAAATGTGATAGATTTTGCGAGAGGCCAAGTGGAAATCATGTGAATTAGTTCGTCCTAGGTTGATTGCACAATGCGTAAGTTAAATCAGTTCTCTGTGTCTTTAACTTAATTGTCCCTGCTATTTCCAAATGACAAAGTGAGCTATTTAGTTAATTCTAACGTCGCATCAGCATTATTGCAGCCATTAGACGACAATAAGTCCATGTGTATATGTTACAGGAATATGTATAACCAGGGAATATGCATAATCCTTGAAAATGTCAGGTTATATGTGTAATGTCTGATTCACTCCGAATATACATAATACCTAAAAATTTTCAGGAATTATACATATTCCCTGGTTTCAGGAGAGATTTTTTAGACATATTCCCTGAAACTGTATGAAAGTTTTGTTTTTGTGTTTGTGTGTGACACCTTTTACCTTTAAAAATATAACTTTTATCTTGTTTAGATAAAACAACTTAATGATTGTAGTAACAACATCTCGGATGAAGTAGTCAAAGATCTCCCACTCACTTTCGATGAGTATGTGATGTTTTCGTTTTTGTGTGTAACACCTTGATGTAAAAATATAACTTTTAGCTTGTTAATATAAAACAACTTAATGATTGTAGTAACAACATCTCGGATGACAACATTTGATCACAATAATATCAACCAGGATATAAAATAGTTGTTTCTGCAATGATAGTCACATTTGCAAAATAGAGCTTGAAGAGAACTTTAGACAGTCCCTGTACAAGACCTATGAAAACATCAAGATAGTCCTGGTCCCTAAAGATCTATAAACATTAAAATACTGGAGTGAAATTATTGATGCTACTAACACTTCCAAGAAGACCCTCTGCAGTATTACATCCTGAAGAAGTATGAAATTATATAGTGTAGGGATGTACAAAAGTTGATGAAGCTCCAGTCTACTCTGTCAGCATAGAAAAGAGGCATTTGATGTTATCCAGCGAGCCCATTTGGCGACTGGTCATGGTGGAGAGAAGTGATGGTGAAATAAGCTCCAAGAAATATGCTAAGATGACCCAAGATGCTCTCTTCAAGAACATGTGTGCGGAGTGCCAACGCAAGATAAAGAGACCAACTACGAAAGGCACTGTTGTTAAGCCTATTGTCAGCAAGAACTTCAATTCCAGATGCCAAGTTGATCTCATAGACATGCAGTCAATGAGCCAAGGACAGTTCAAGTTCATCATGGTTTATCAAGATCACCTAACTAAGTTCTGTGTTCTTCGTGCCCTTACGTCCAAGCGTGCTGCTGAGGTTGTTTACCAGTTATTGGATATTTTCCTTTTGTTTGGAGCTCCATTTGCGTTCTCCAGAGTGACAACGGATCAGCGTTTACTGCCCAGGTAATTGCCGATCTGAAGCAAATGTGGCCAGATCTTGTAATAGTTCACGGTAAGCCTAGCCATCCACAAAGCCGGCGCTCTGTTGAGAGAGCCAATTTTGACGTCAAGGACATGGTTAGGTGACAACAATACAACTGATGGGACAGATCTGGAGATCTTGTTTGATTTTATGTTATACTACATGTATGAGAAATAAATGTTTTCTTCCAAAAAGTTTTTTGTTAATATTTTATTTCTATAATTCCATCAAAAACTGGAGGTTCTACAATGATAAGTTAAGCATTTAAACTTTCAAACAGTTTCAGGAAATATATCTAAAAACTCTCTCAGATGAGTAATAAATTTAAAGGTTTGCAGCTATGAGCTATGAGTTACCAGCACTCAAAGGTGGGCAACCTTGAGGTGGATCATGGTGATTTTGATATGTTTCAGTCGACAGTAATGGCATATTTGAACACTGGAGAGACGCTGAGAAATATTTCACTGACCATCCTGAAGTCCCAGTGCACTTTCAAAGTTATGAAGAAACCATCAAGGTAGACAGCCTAATTCCACAAATGATCCTTGTGCTAACTACTCAGATGGATCAAAAGTAAATTTCTTTACTTAAGCATCAGCATACGGTTGGAGGAGCATTACGAATGCTAAGTGGAATGAGACCGATGGTAAAGGTTTACACATTTTCATTTGTTTTATTGTTTTACTGTATTATATTAACACTGACTCTTGCCAATCCGGGTTATGATTGGATTAACACGAGGCTAACAAGACAACCAAGATGTGTAAGTATTCACAAAAGAAAACAAAACCCTGTCTATATCTACAAGATACCGCTGACAAACTAATGGTAAGACATACTTTTGCACATTTGAGGACCAGGGTATGACTTTTACCTTCTGTTCTTAGGATCCTGTACGTGCTGTACAAGCACTGTCCGACTTTCTTGGACTTTACAGAAACGATGATCTGTGCCGAGCAATTGCAAAGAAATGCAGCTTTTCCACAATGAAAATCGACAAGGAACCCTTTGCAATAAAAGTGGACGGAGAACACTTTCTGTACAGAAAAGGTAATTTAATGAATACTGACTTATCAAATAAAACCAACTGTTTAAGGAGGATCACAATAAATGACGTAAATCAAATATTCCAAAAAATAATCATTCACAAGTATGTAAGCACAACGTTTGTTAAAGAGTAATCTTTAAAAGAAGTGCACTATAATGTGTTTTCTGATAACACACGAGTACTTTCGAGAACTTCTATTACTATGACGATGTTTAAAAATCACATACCTCAGGAGTTGTTGGTGACTGGAAGAACTGGTTCAACGACCAGATGTTAGAAGAGTACTACAGAGTGTACGAAGAAAAAGATGGCGGGGTCCAGATTCTACGCTACATATTCAAGGAGTAAACAGTAATACACTCAAAGGCAAAGTTAGTGTGATTGGCTTGAGTTAGGTATGTGAATTAACAAACTGACATTTTTATGAAGAGACTTTGTTTAATAAAATCATTCCACAATAGAATTGTAAATGGCACATTTTAAACTGTCCTGGCTGATACGTACTAGTGAGGTCATAGTGAGCGTCAAAATGGTCAAAATGAAATTCAGTTAATAACGTGTACGTCCACCATGAGCACCGATGCACGCTTGATACTTGCACCTCATGGAGCCAATCAAACGTGGCAAGAAGTCTTGTGGAATGGCATTCCATATGTGGAAGCACTTGGCGGAGTTCCTGAAGAATGTCTTTGGGATTTGATCAACGTCTCAAACTCCTCTCCATTTCGCGACGTGTTCGACATTGACAGATCTGGGGATTTAGCAAAGGAAGGGAAGGATGTTAACATTTTGCTGTGACAAGAACTGCTGAAGCACCCTCTGGCGACACGTCTGGCATTGTCCTGCTGGAAGACAATTCCTGAACCGTTCTGCGCCCGTGCTTTCCGACGGAGATGTTGTCTGCGCCACTGCAATCGTAGACGTTGGTGATGTAATGTCAGAATGTTTCGTCTGGAAGGTCATCTGGAACGTATCATGCAGCAAGACGCCAGCGAATGGTCCTGGCGATATCCTGTCGATACCAAGAACTGATCGGGCTGTCAGTGTGGCTGGTTGGAATCTTGGGCCCAGATAAGTGCTTTGAATCCAACGATTATTGCGTGGGGTAGTTACAGGTGGGCGGTCACTTTGGGGGCGGTCGACAACGACGGTGTTTTGGTGATAACGTCTCCACAAGCGGCATATTGAGTTCCCGTGCAGGTTAAACTGCTGTTCAACGTTGCACTGGGGTCAAGCATTCCTATGGCTCGCCTTCCTTCATTTTCTTTTTTCGTACCCGTCGTCTTCTAACAATCATTTGGGTGACAATGATTCGAGGTTTAAAGCCACACTTTTTAAAGGGCACGTTTTATGCTTTGAAACCACGAAAAAGGCTTGCAAAACAAGGGTTATGGATAAAGTGCATTATAAAGAATATTAAAATGCGTTATTAAAATGTTCTTATTTATAATATTATAAATAAATGTGTTGATCAAACTAACGTTTGCTATTGGGTATATATCTGACCTTTCGGGTTTCTTTTCGGTCAGTTCTCTTTTACATTTTCAGATGTATCGTAATGTTCGGATGTTATGCCAAAATATGTCCATATATTTCTGTGACCATTTGTAAAAACATTTTATTATTGGAGACACATTATGTAGCACAAAAAGGGTAACTTGAATACAATCTCTCCCCAACAAGACCATACACCAGTGTATCGTCGTTTTGTTCACTCCCAAAACGTTCTTCTTGGCTGTCCTCGAGAATAAGGACTGCGCCCGTTGTCTTTAGATGTATATTTCGCCGTTGGTGTTAGAACATTGATGATATTGTTTTATCCTTACATTCTCCAGAGCTGGAACAATTGACAACGATGATTACATGGTTGTGTTACATCAACATCATACTATTGGTCGAACATGTTCCTGAACACATTTTCATTAACAGAGATTTTGGGTGATCGTCACATGTTCTGTCATATGACATGTCTTCTAATGCGTTCAAAAAACGAGTGTCATAATCCGTGCATCAGATGAGGGAGGTCTCTTTGTTCGATGTTAATAATTGAAAGCTCTCATATTTTTCAGAACATGGTCCTTACATGAAAAAAAGACTTGTAGCAAGCTTCATCATTTTACACACATCACATGATTGTACATGCTCAGATTTTCGACATGGAAGTCTATAGTTATTTTAGGGCAGTAGATCAATGTCCAATCAAAGAGGTTCAACCGTTGATTTTGTATGCTTTTATGTGCACAATGTGTATTTCTAAAGAGAATATAAAGAGTTTTACGAGATAACAACTGTTGTCTTTTTGTCAATTTTCAAGATTTGTCAAGCTCATAATTGGCGCCCTGAAGGTGCCCCAAAGGTTTTTAAAGTGTTTTTGGTTTTGTTGTTGTTACACTCTGGATGTGGCTTGCTACAGCTACACGAAGGCAGTGCGTGAATAATTGAGCCACACCCAGAACATACGGTGATTGATATCAATGTTAGGTTACCGCCCCGCCAATGGACGGACAACCAGAAGTACAGTGCAGGATGAATCTGTATACTGTGTATACGTGCATGCATAGCAATGCCAACATGTACATTTATCAGCAAAAAGTTATTAGGAATTAGGCTGAAAACCAAAGGCTGTAAACGTTGATTAAGGAATAAAACCCCACCTCAGATACACACATGAAAGATAATACATAGCATAAAGACATCGGCTCTTTAGGTATGAAACCACAGCGACCACTGCTGCGGCAAAAACAATACAAGTGTACTATTTCTTTCCAAAACGTCACCTGTGTGTGATTGAAAACAGCTTCAGTGCCAAAACGATGCTATTTTAACTTTTTCCCCTGTTTTAGAAGCGTTTGAAGAAATATTCGCGAAAACTTGCCAAGCAAAATGCACGTGCAAGTATGCAGAAAACCATGCGGTATCGATCACTATTAAAAGGCAATCGTTGTGTTTAATTTTGTCATTCGTATTTACCTGGAAGCTGGGGAGTCGCAGTCTGCAGTTGCCCGACATTTCAACATCCATCAGAGCAAAACAGGTCGCCTTTTGGGATCGTTTCCTGCAGACCATTTCAACCCAAGATCACTCGAGAAGAGACCGTCTGGCCACATCATCTTCCCACAGCCGTGGGGACTGTACAACACATCCCTGGTTTGGGAAGAGTTTCCGACCAAACTGTCAGGAATCGATTGCGTTAAGTGGGGCTTCAACTAAGAAGCCCAGTAGTGGCCCCTGTTTTGAGAGACTTCCACTCGCGTAATCGTTTGCTGTGGTGTCGTAGACTCCAGAACTGGAACCTTAGAAACTGGAGGCAATGAATCACAATTTCTTCGTCACCGGCGAGATGGAAGACAGCGTGTTTACGTTTGAACGTTTTGACCCTAATTCCAGTCGTCAGTTCCATAGATTCACGGTGTGGGGTTCGATACCCAGCACACAAAGATCTGATTTAGTGGTAGTTCAGGGTAATTTGACAGCAAATCGGTACATCAACGAAGTCCTTACACGACACATACTTCCGATTATAGACCGAGAGAGGGAGTTGTTCCAGCATGACAACGCTACTTGTACGTCACCGTCAAAGCACGCCTCGGACACGTCCACAACTGGCCATCGCATTGCTGGAAGAGTGTGGGAAGAATTCCGCAAGAGCAGCTTCGTCGACGTATCCAGCCTGTGCTGAGGCGGTGCCATTGTGTTGTGCTGCTGTTGTGTTGGCGAACTCTATAGACGTGTGAATTTTCACCTATTTACCATTGAACTGACTGAGTTTGGTTTTACGCCTGTTTTAGCATTATTCCAGCAATATCTCGGCGGGTGACACCAAAAATGGGCTTCACTCATTGTGCCCAGGTGGGGATTCGAACCCGGGTCTTCGGCGTGACGAGCCAACGCCTTAACCACTAGACTACACAACCGCCCCATTTACCATTGAAACTAAAACAATTAACTCTTCTAAAATTGTCTTATGCGTTTCCCTTTAGAGTATTTATGCCAGTCTGATGTGGAATGAAAGCATAAAGTGATGCAGTAAAATTGAAGCGTATAAAACATGGTTGTCTACCTCTTGTTTTAAAGGTGAAAGTGTTGAACGTACAAAACCTCTGTACGGTATATTCATTGGAGGTACGAACTAACAAAAATGTGTGTCGGATAGGTTGCTGAAAAGTCATCCTTCTATGAATCGGTAATGGAACATAATAATCATGCACAACCTAGGCTCAATACTCCATTTAGTTCCAGGTGCACGGGTGACCTGATCATCTTAGGTCACCTAAGTGACAAACATATGTTTCACGATAAGATATTGTGTGGTCTCTTTATGATACGCTTTTCAAATATGGTAACCCTCCCAACACGACTGTGTTTCTTTATATAAAAGTGTTCATTGTCTGTATGCTAGCGTGTGATTTTTCATTTTCAGCTGACAAATATTGATACTCAGACAACATTATTTAGTATCACAAAATACATAATTTCGTTGTGAACATCTCTTCTGAAATTAACAGAGGAAGCTGAATCCTGGAATGTGTTTTTTTTCGCAAGATGACGTCGGAATTTGTTAACTCACTTCAGTTCAACTTCATTTTGAAATTGGTGACAGCATATCGTGAAAAACTGCAGCGCCATGTATTAGCACTCCTGTATATGTTTGTCTACACACGTCCAGTCCCTACCACATTTGGAGCTGAGCATAAGAAACACATGAACTAATGTCAATGTTCTATAACAAAGCTGATATCTTTTCAAGTAATATTATTATCTATGGTGCAAGGGAGATCACGTCTATCTTATCATAACCTACATTCACATGTTCAATTCTACGATAACTGTAGGAAATACATTTAAGTCGGATTATTTCATCAGAGCAAAACTTTCAAAGACAGTACAGTACATTTCGAGTGTAAACTTTGTTGATATGTAATGTGAAGGGAAGGTTTACATATTTGCTGGAAAGGACCGGTACATTGTTTCTGTGACTGACAAAGAATGAAGCTACGTGCGTGAAGAAGAGAGAAAGGGTTTTCAGGAACAGCAATCTTCCCTCCCCGAGCTATTTTAGAGTGACCACTTGCCTGAAATCATTGTCATTGAGACAACCCTCGGCACCTACGGCTCTCGTTCCAAAAAGCCTTTCTATTTATCATTATCATTTGAGGATACCCATAACATCACTGCATAATAAACATATTTTTCAAGTTTTGGGGGAGTATGTCTCGTTTAACGAGACAGCCTTAATTGTAACCAAGCTGCTAAAATCTTCCTCGTCAAATTTCCTAACACGAGAAGCTGAAATCACTGAGCAATTTATTTATGGATGTCTGAATTTTCTCAAAAAGTAAATTTCGTGAGGAAACGTCTCCTCTGAATTTGCCAAACTGAAGGGTCCTGAACTTACTGTGAAATGTTACTTTGTTTAGTTCAATAGATTTTTCAAATTAAATGTATTACGTTTCACTCAGTATTAACCCAGAAGAAAAACGATTACCGTACCAATTAGTGGTCAGTAGTTGCTATACATTTGAACAATGGAGATGTAAAAATGATGACTACATATGTAGGTGAGCTACAGTGCCACAGTACATGTTTTATACACTGCTTAAGTAATCAACCACACGATCCAATGTGGGTATCTTAGCACAGTTCTTTTAATAGAACTTTGCGAACGTTGCTGACACTGTTAACCAAAGTACAGACGTGAGGAGCATCGCACGCCTAGTATTTCATAACCTACATGCGCTAGACACGACCAGAACCATGTCGAAGCCTACAATAACTGTAAGTGATACATTACTTTGATATTTTACTTGTTGTATATTTACTGAAATTCAGTAAGATATTTTGTGTACTTAACTTCGGCATTATCAGTGAAAACATTTACATGTATTCTGTGGTAAGTGAACTGGTGAATTTGAAGTGGATACTTTTATCAGGGCGTAATTGTTGAAGGCACAACAGTATGCAGCGTCCGTGGTGTATTCTTTATTGATTTGTAGTTCGGAGAAGACGATTTTGAGATTGACGAGAAGGACCAAGAAAGTGTCTTTGTGACTGACAAGCGAGGAAACTCACTGCAGCTACAGATGTTTGAGGATATCCTGTACACCAACGCATACAAACGAGAGGTTTTAGAGCAGCTTAAAGACGTTCAGCTTCGGAAGGAAGATATATATCTAGCTGCCTACCCGAGAACCGGTCAGTGAGAGTAGGGTGAAATATGGAGAGACTCATATCTTCATCTAAACTCTTTAATGAAACCATCGAGAAAGGTTATGGAGATTTCAGTCCGACAATCATAGTGATTTGTGGATATTTTATGCTGTCATTTTAACTCACGCTCATATGTATACGTACTACAGATCCCTTTCAACAGAGTGAATTCCCTGCACTGTTACTTGCTGACATGAATCATTTCTCAGGATTATCTATCTTAAGTCGAATATCTTTTAAATCGTTAGAAGATCCTCTCATTAAGTAAAGTGCCTCAAAATTCTGGAAGGCATGGTTTCTTTCTGTGTCAGTTAGAGCCACCTTTAAGGTGATTGGTCTTCAGTGTCCCTAATATCTTAACAAAATGTTAATGCGCAAAGCAATATTTACGCACTCACTCATTTTTACGTAACTTGCACATTTACCATCTGATCTTCGTTTCTGTGGGATTCATACCGTGTAAAGTAGTGTAAATGGTGGGGCAGGGGCTTACTATCGATATGGCTCATATGGATCGATAATCGTTAACTAACAATCGATCAATTATCTAGAAATATTGGAGACGTGACTGTGAGCATAAATGCAAAATGTCTGAAAGATTGTGGATATATTGCACATCACTGTGACATGTTTGTGCCTGGAATATAAACAAAGCAGCATCGTGAACACAATTTACAAGCACACTATGAATAGTGTCCTAATTGTGTACACGAAAATTATCACAAATGTTAATATACGATATTATCGATAACACACTTTCCATATCGACAATCATTAATAATCTTTCCTATAGACGATATTTCCGATTATGGATCATTTTAAAATGGAATCTGACGAGAACGAGTTGTGCATTCTCTATAGGTGTACCCATATAAAACATGTACACTAAGTATTAACGTGATAAAGTTCATTTGATACTGTACAGGAACACACTGGACGTTTGAAATGGTTGGAATGTTGCTTAATGGAACTGCCGACACCATACCCACATACAAGGAAAAGATTCAACTAGAATTAACAAAGAATGATGAACTGAGTAGTCTCCCCTCCCACGAATCATCAACACCCACTTCCAACTTTCTCGTGGACCAACGCAGTTGAGAGAAAAGAAATGCAGGATAATCTACAATCTAAGAGACCCAAAAGATGTTGCAGTCTCTGTGTACTGTTTATATATGGATGCAGGGGGGTGACTGGCTACCAGGGCACATTCAAAGATTTTCTAGACCTTTTCTGCAATGGGAAAGGTACATATGTCCATAGAGAATATATTTTCATGGAAACAGATAATTGTCCATGGATTGTTATTCAACCAAAATAAGATTAGTTGGTATCTTTGTAGTCGAGAGCTATTTCATGCATGTTGTCCTATGTAATGCATGTGTTGAAAACCAGAGTAAAGCGCTTCGAAATCTAAAAAAACCCTTATATGTTTAATCACGGATGGGTGTGCTTTTGAAAAATCAGCGTTGCATGGGCTGTGAAAAACGATCGTGTTGCTCACGTTTAGTGCGACTTCTAAATATGTTATTGTGGAGTAAGACGATCACTCAAACTTGGTACAGTGTCAAGCATTAACACTCTCCTTGGACGCATCTCCGGCGCCTTTCAGGTCTTAGCCATACAAGCCTCCTCCTTAAAGGGAACCGGGTCAAATGAACACACGATGGGTATATTTATGATAACATAGATACTTTTAACAATGAGATCTATCATCCCTCTGGGGAAATTTGTCAGGTTTCAAAACCATCGCAACACACGCTTCTTTGGTTTCCAGGCTTATGCCATTATGCTCCTTGTGAGGGATTATTAAATGTATCTTCGTTTGGAACATTTCAGTTGAGTGCAACGGTATTTTTGAACACCTGCGTGATGCAGAAACATTCTTTGAAGAGAATCCTGACATTGAAGTGCACTTCCAAGTTTACGAGGAAACACTGAAGGTACCTGTATTAATGACACCATGTGTCCATTTCGCGACGCATCCCTTTGGTTTCAAGTGATTTGCCTAAAGCATATTCTAGCGCGTGGTTCTGGCTAACACAGAAATCACGTTTTGCCGCGAACACACATCTTACACCTCTGCAAAAGGTGTCTTTTTTGAGTGCCTCTCGGGTGGTCGCATGGAGTACATGTATGTATGAGCATGATCATAATTTTACTGTCCTTACTTGTGTTTCCTTTTCACTTTATCACATGTGAAAGCCAGAGATAATGTGTATGAAATAAGTATGAGACTTATGTTAACAGGGTTACCCAATTTGTGTTTCTAAAAGGATCCTGCAGCAGAAGTGAGAGCTCTCTCTGATTTTATTGGGCTTGAGAGAAATGAGGAATTGTGTCGTGCTATTGCAGAGAAGTGTACCTTTGCAAGGATGAAAGATGACAAGGACAAGTACACAGTAAAAGCTGATGGGAAAAACTTTTTGTACAGGAAAGGTATTTTGATTAAACCAATCGTTGAAAATCGTGAAAAATGCAGATAACCAACTAATTGTTTCTATATTATTTGTGACTGATTGTGTATTATCATATTGGAAATAGAAATCATTGCTGAGGATTGCTGTTAAGAGTCAGATGGAAAACTTAAATGCAATAAGTGTGATTAACACATCACACGGTGTAACTTTTAAGTTGATATCAAGTAAATAAGATTACCGACCAGGTGAACGCTGAAATGCAAGGAAAGCATCTTTGTAGGGAGGATGTAAGAAGTACTGTGTTGTTGCCAGTTTCCGTTGCACGTATTTAATTTGATCGTATAATGAATGATAATGAGGTGACGATTTGAGTTGTGGTAACGTTATTCTTAAGGTGTCGTTGGAGACTGGAGGAACTGGTTCACGGATGAGATGCTGGAGGAGTACTACCATGTGTACGAGGAGAAGATGGCCGGGTCAAGATTCTATGAACGTTATGCCAGGACGAAGATCGACAACACGCTCTAATCACTCACGCAGAATACAGATAGAATTTTGTGTGTGGATAAAACATTTATTTTTTGTATTCCTGTAACAGGAATCATCACTTCTCCTATTATACACGATGAATATCTTGACTCTAGACCTGATCTCTGACCTGGTCTAATTCGCGACTTTTTCAGATAGAAACATGAGAAATCACAAAAATAAACTTAACACTTAAAGGTTGGTTCAGAATGGTTGACGAACATGAACATGATCGTCGGTATCCACCAAAATATATTCTGTTGCGCGTACAATGAAAAGCATATGAATTGATCACTGAAAATCAATGATGACAGCAGGTGTTTGTGGAGAGTGCAATCGTTCCCCACACCCGAAAATGAAATGTTGTCCTAACACTGCATATCAGTTCTTGTGCCACTGGATTGTATTCTAGTGAAATAACCAGAGGCATAACCAGGGAGACGTTACTCCAGCGAAATAACCAGAGGATTCAAACCCAATGAACCAGTATTCCAGTGAAATAAAAAATAGCTAAGTGTCAGGGGTGTTTTTTTTTTAAATAACTGACCTGAGGCCCCCGTTCCACCAAGCCTCGACCAGCATACTACCGAGCGCGATCACTGGGACCAGTTCGATCGCAGCCTGTCGCAGAGTTTTGCGACCGATTTTAACACATTTTGACTTTCCGGTTACACCAGGCCAACTGTGCGATCCCACTACAGTGCTCCGGCTGGGTCTTAGTGCGCTTGACACAGATCGCGCACTTTGGTCGCAAGTGAAAGAATCGCGCAAATGCAGTGCGAGTGAGTGCGATCAAGTTGCGAGTTCATGCAACCGACATGCGACTGCACCAGGATCCCTCTGCGACCGATCCGAGCACACTGCGACCGAAATAGCGATTGAGCCCTCGGTTGCATAAGTTGTGCGAGTGTATGGAACCGTTTCATACCCTCTCAGAACCCTCTGCGACTGATGGCGATCGAGTGCGAGTGAGGGAGATCCTTTCGGCGAGTTTGGCGAGCTTCCTAAGACCAAACAACGATCTCAGTGCAAGTGTGCGCAAGTGAATGCGACCGAGATGCAAAAATCGGCCGCAGTGGGTTCGCAAGCTTCGTGTAGCGGTGGTATAACGGTGGCCTGTTCCTATTCACTTCTGTGAAACAAGTGCAAGGAACTTTCCTGAATGTACACCGTTGCGAGTGAGTATTTGATAAAGTAAATGTTACGCGATCAAATGTCACAGAACAATGACATTCCCCCATCCAATTAATACGTTTGTAATTTTTACGAAACTCTGGTTGTAGCTGTGTTTGTTTGATAATACTTTTTATGACTTTATTCTTGATGGCACGTTGGCTCGGAATTGTTAACTGATATTGGATTTTTAGCAATATTCCAGCAATATCACGGCGGGGACTCCCGAAATGGGCTTCTCACAATGTACCCATGTGAGGAACCGAACCCGGGTCTTCAGCGTGACGAGCGAACGCTTTAACCATTATGCTACCCCAACGCCCCGAAACAAATAGAACCAAAATTGCCTTGCGCTCAGACATTGTCTTAATGGAAAGCTCGCTACATCTTTAGGATTAATGATAAAACGCCAGACCCAGATATTGATTTGTCTCGACTAACTAACTATAACCCCACCCAAACGTCCATACAGATCTTAAAAATATTTATTTCCCTATCACATACTATAACGACTGATAAAAGTCTGAAGCAAAACATCAAAATAGAAACGACAAAAATACACTTTCCACATTCATAAGGAATATCAGGATCGATTGTACAATTGTGAGTATATCATGAGCAGATATTTGTTTCAGCAGCATTACAGTGATTGTCACCATGCGATACGATCACAGAGCATGTGTTTAAGAACCACTTTTAAATAGTGATGATACCAGGTGATCAGGTGAGCATGTTCTGCCCCACCCGTCATAAACATATGCGAAATATTAATGGTATAAGTCAACATAGGGAATTGCATCGGACATCATTCTTCTCACTTATGCATCGAATTTCGAAATGTCCTCCACATGTCTACCACAAAGGTCTTGAAAGCTTTACTGAGGCCTTGAATGTTGTAACCTTGATGAAACAACCCAGCAGGCACATCAACGTTGTTTCAACGTTGAGAATAGGTTGATCCTCAACGTTGAAAATAGATTGAAAATAGGTTGTATATGAAAGTTTTTTTGACGTGGAATCAACGTTGAAGTTTAACCGATTATCAACGTGGAAAAAAGGTGGTATATGAAAGTTTTTTAGACGTAGATATCCGACGTGGAATCAACGTTGAAGTGTGACATATTGTTAACGTTGAAGTTCCGTGGTTGTATATGAACGTTTTTGACCTATATCCGACGTGGAATCAACGTTGAAGTTGTACCTATTATCATGAAAAAGGTTTTTGAAAGCGTAGATATCTGACGTGGAATCAACGTTGAAGTGTGACATATTGTTAACGTTGAAAATGGGTTGTTTCGTGGTTGTATATGAACGTTTTTTTGACGTAGGTATCCGACGTGGAATCAACGTTGAAGTTTGACGTATTATTAACGTTGGAAATGGGTTGTTCCGTGGTTGTGTCTGGTAGGTATTACGCTTTCCTGTAAATAGACTCGCACTTCATCTTTAAACTACACTAAAGTAGCACCAAACTCCTGCATCCAGCTAAAATACCCAAAAAGCTACCTGCAATAAACAGTGTTCAAACAGAAAATTGCAGTAAAAATATTTGCCTGATAAAATAGCCTGGTTAAAATTCCACATTCAATATAATGTTCATTTAAGTTTTATGTCAGTTGGACGTATAATTCAAGTAAGAAGAAAAGAGTAATTCAAATTAAGAAAAACTATTTACTGTTGTATTGTTACCTTGAAAAGGTGGAAATTGTCCCGAGAAGACATTTTGTCTGAATTTCAGCTATTAGACAGACCCCTGAATAAACACAATGCAATTACTTTCACCATGAAAGGGATCCAAGATGACCAGGAACTATACCTTAAAACAGCACATAAAACAAGTCACTTTTCATGAAATCTTTATGAACACACACGCACACAGAGAAACGTGGTTTAATGCATAATGTAAAACATCACACATGACATAGTCTGTAGGTGATCTCTGTTGTGCTAATAACACAATATCATCTGCATATAGCATCAAAGTGACATTTACGCCACCAATTGCAATACCACAGTTCAGATTTTTCAACACAATTACAACTCCAAAAACACAATTATCAGCTCCTCTTCTTTCTGCCACTCCCTGCCTGGCGGTCAGGTGGATACTTCAGAAACGTCCCTAACTCTTTCTTGAAATTTGCTTCGGATGCATTCCCATCTCATTCCCATGAGATAGGACACATTCTGAAATTTTATATTTAAATACATGAATAAGTTATATGGAAGATATATTGTCTTAAATGATTCAAGTATTTGTTTAATCAATCACTTGAAAGGTTCATTTCACTGCTGTAACTTGGCATGTGAACATATGAACAGCATCAATACAAAATATGACGAAAAGTGTAAACAATTTATATTTTCAACCGAAGGAATGGAAGTTTTCTTAAACATTTTCAAAGAAAATCCTCAATTGCAAGTTGATTATTCAATTAGACTATGAATTAGGATGAATTTGACGATGCTTTACTGTCATATATTATTTGCTATGGTCATGATGAATATGCTGCACTTGGTAATTAACTTACCAGAGATGATTGAATGCAACCTTGTATTCTTAAAAGAAAACTTGCCGTTTTGCCCATCAACATTCACTCCTGACATCAAATTGTTTGACATTGTCCTGCGAAACAATGGAAGATTGTTGTTATTCTGTCAGGTTTAGTTTTTTTTTAGAGATTCTTGGAAATGATTTTTTCAAATTAATAGAAGTTGTACTGATGTAGCAATTTTGCTACCAGGAGTTATAAATTGTAACAAAACCCATGAAGGTCCGGGGTAGAATAGCCCTTCAGCAACCCATGCTTGCTATAAAAGGCGACTATGCTTGTCGTAAAAGGCGACTAACGGGATCGGGTGGTCAGGCTCGCTGACTTGGTTGACACATGTCAACGGTTCCCAATTGCGCAGATCGATGCTCATGCTGTTGATCACTGGATTGTCTGGTCCAGACTCGATTATTTACAGACCGCCGCCATATAGCTGGAATATTGCTGAGTGCAGCGTAAAACTCAACTCACTCACTCACTCACAAAAGCCATTTTACATTAAATGATAAGAAAACTAAATGGGTGGTGGTTCACAGGTCAAAGAACAAGTCTACTGTGGGAGGTCTCCCAACACCATTTGTTCCCAAACACAAGGAAGTATGGATCATGGAGTTCTGAAAACAATGAGCTCTCATAAGTATACAATATATTCTCTATTATCTACTCTCTCTCTCTCTCTTGTCATTTGTACACTCATACAACTCAGATAAATAACTTCTTTATAATTCATAAATGTTTACACTTAATCTCTTATAGGAACGCTTAGAAAATCTCTCATATAATGAATTATGTGTGCGTATTATCTGCGACGTCATAACTGTGCTTCTCTGAATGATGAATAATGAGATTAAACTCTACACTGCCAGAAATAATCTATCATATCCTGAATAATAAGACATTGAATAACATTAACTCTTACAACTCCAATCTACACTCAAAAAGACTTAAATGTACTCGTAAACAAACATCGCTGGCACACGCAAATTCTTGGAAACAGTGCATCTCTGACTCTCAATTCCAAGAAATGGAAGTCCTACTCTATTTGACCAAAGGGGTGACAGGTGGCCAAAACATATTGAAATGTACCTCATACACTGAAAATAACTCTGATTTAAAACACTACAAATATACACCTTCTCTCTAATATACTCGATAGATGATCTTAACAAGGGAACATGTACATAAAATGCTGATATCTAACAACATCTGTACTTTAAATAATGGACTCTTCCCAATCTCAGTATGTTTTACTGCACACATATTAGATTGCAAATAATGAAAAACCTACCCTTTGACAATAATAAAAAACATCATATTCAAATTCTACAGCTGACCAAATACCTGAAGAGTGTGTCCTCCAGCAATAAACATCTATATATATCTATAAATGTATGACTTCTGTCCTCTCGCGTGCTATCGCGCATCCAGCTGTTTACGGCGAAAAACAATATAGCGCCAAGCAAGGGAGTGCTCATTAAACTAAACATCTCCGGGAGAAATCATTGTCAAATTTTTCTCTTAAATGATCAACCTTAATATATAAATGAAAATAAAGTCCAACTATTATCACCAAAAAAGACAAAACATTATCACAAATATTCAAAACAGGTGGTAATGAAAGAGCATTATCATCTTTCTCTTAAACTTTGTGGTGGATATACTGGAAACAAGTGAAATGTTAAAAACGTGTTACCTTAGCATTGCTCCTTTTATGTGATCCACAAAATTGCTGCCACCCAGTCTTCGAAGATGAGATTTCTGCAAATTCCATTAAAATTATACCTTATTTCATAATTAAATGTTCCTTACTTTAAAATTACTTCTTTTGTATGTAAGATTTTAACCTTTAAGAGACATGAATTATCATATCCCTTCCAAACAAGTGTAAGAATGAAAGTCTGTGGGTGCAGTTTTGTTAATTGTCCCATCAAAGAATCATTAGTGAAATTACACTTTTTGTAAATAAATAAAAGTTCAAATAAATTATATGCAATTTCATGCTTAACAAAGACTTTCACAAGACATTTTGATGTGAAAATTTCGTTGCATTTCCTTACGCCATTCTCCACCACCCCCCTCCCCCAAATAATATACATATGTTGACAGGGTTCAGGGCGTGTCAATACATAATTTACTGATAGATCTATTCAAACGAACAAATGTTCATAATAATGGGATGCAATATAAAATGTTGATTAATCCTATCCGATTTTGTACAGCTGCCCTTAGGGACCGTTCATAATGTATGGCTTTGGGGTGATGTTGATTTTTATGGAGAAGCATGTACAACGTGAATTCCCCCAATGTGAGACGGCCCACCCTGCATGTCATGTACATTATCTATGACGCTCTCTCCCCTTCCAATAATTTCTAAGCATCATATTAAACATAGTGTGTGTACAAAAATGCTGACGCCTTAGCTCCCCTGAACAAAATGGGTGACACCCCACCCCCCCCCCTTACAATCATCACCCCCACCCGCAGCCATATATTTAATTATGAACGGTTCCTTATATTGATGTACTTCATTGATTATTTGAAAATGTATATTTGCAAAATTCAAATCAGGTGATGGGTACGAAAGGAAATCTTATTCGATTATATAATAAAATGCCAAATATATGCATGTAAATAACAAAACAAGTTCATGGAAAACACGGGCTTCCACTAAATTTTGAGAAACATGTACTGTGACATACCGGTAACCTTGTGAGATAAAACATGAGCCCTAATTCGGAGTTTCTTGCTACTTTGACCTGCTAGATTTAAACGGCATTCCTACGTTTTCAGGATACATGAAGGACATACTTAGCAAATAAACACCAGCATGCCGTGAAGATGGCGAAAATAGAACGATATTGCGTTGAACTTCGCCAAAGTAAACTGACAACGATCAGCTGCCTTTGCGCGCGCGATAATTGTGGGCATGTCCGGATATGGCCAAACGAGGCGATCGAAAGGTCAACATCTGGCATGTGTTTGAAAGCAAATTGTCGGGAATTATACAATTTTCACAGTTTTGTTGGAAAATATCAAATGTACTGCAATTTGGATAACTGATGACTTTATACCTAAAATTGCGATTTACGTAATATTTCCGTCCGTTGATCGATGCACAATCAAACAATATATAAGATTATATCTGTCACTAGCTCGATCTTGATCTTTTATGAAAATAATGTTCCGAAATGATAGTTGCTAAGTTGGATACCTATTACCAATATGAATTATGTATCAAATTTGCCAAGGAAACAATTAGTTGACATTTTGTTGGTTCCTTACGTTGAAACAACGTTGACAACTAAACGAATCTCGACTAACTTTCTTTGGTCGCATGATAAACGTTGAATCAACGTTTATGAAAGGTTGATCAACCAAACAACCTAAATTCAACGTTGATTCAACGTTGTGTGCCCGCTGGGAACCTTTGAACAAGATTGATATGAGACTCCTCGAATTTCTGATAAAAAGAGCACGCTCGGTTGTATCTGAAAGGTTGTGAAACGTTAACACCAAAGGCCTGAGCTGTTGGAATATTGCATGACATGAAAGGGAAGTTGACTATTGCAAAGTTAAAATCATCCCTTTTGTTATACAGCCCTGTGGAGAGTTTTGTGTGACTGAATCTTTAAGCATAGGTCTAAATATGGTACAGTTGAGGCAATCTCACTTGTCTAATTTTCAAGCTGAGGTGGCTAAATTAGTTGAAGGGAATGGGTTGTTTGATAGGTATTGAACGATATTAGATCATAGATGTAATGGAAACTTAAGTTAAACTTCCTGGCTACATTACCTTGTTTTGATTTTGCAAACCCAAGCAGAAATTC